TATATATAAATTGAATTTTGGGAAACTTTAACAGTGCTGCCAATTTTGGAAAAAGTCATCCCAATTTACCGTGTTGAGTTGGCATTGTACAGAAATGGACAGCCATATTGGTCTAGAAATGTTAATTTTTTATTTTTTTCCATGTATACAGGGGTAACACATCACACTAAATATGTAAGGTCATATCTACATGGGTTTGATTACAGAAACTAATAAAGTATTCTCTAAATAATGAAAAAAAACAATAAGATAAGACTATAAGAGCAAGAAGCAATTTAAATATGTTCAGGGACCATTTTCATCTCCAGAATTAAGGATTATTTTAATGTTACATCATTGCCTTTTCTCTTTTACTTTCCTTTTTTAGTTTTATTTAAGGATTCCCTATTTTTAATGTTCATACAGAGATTTCTTTAACTGAAATACCGAAGCGCTTCTCTGGTGTGAAAAACTATAATAGTACACAGGATCCTAATGAGATAATTAATAATGTGAAATAGGAAGTAAAGGGCTAAAGGTGTAGCAAAAGTGGAAAGGGTGGGGAAAGGTAATAAGGGAGAGGAAAAAAAATATAAGAAACTGAAAAAATGGAAATAAAGTGTTTGTAAATGGGGAGGGGAGGAGGGGGTGAAGGGAGGGCAGAGACAAGGGGAAAATATGAGAATCAAGACCTATTATGTAAAGGTACAGAATCCCAAGGATGAATGTAACTGTACTGTATACCTAGATTGTACCAATAAACTCAATAAAAAATAAAAAAATTAAAAAAGAAACAGGAGAAAGGTAGACTGGAGTTGCTACCTTGGCAACTCAGCAATTAGTAGTTATTTAATATACAACGATTTCATTCATAGTACTTCCTTCGCTCTATGAGTGGAGTAAGTATTGTTAACTATGTGCAATCACAGGTCACTCAAGAGTCTACATGAGTGCACTCTTTGAATTCAGTACCAAAAGACACCAGCGTAAATAATTTCCCAAGATCCTGTAGTGGAAATAACTGCTTTAGGACCTGTGAAAGATAGACAAATAAAAATCCCTGGTTCTTACAGATTTCCCCAGAATTTTTTGCTAGAAATAGAAAGGGGAAAGGTCAGGAGGGTCTGAGACTGAGGGCACTCCCAGCAGTGCATTTCCCACTATCTAGAAGAACGAATTCACATGTGAATGACTCACATCTGTGATGGACGATTAACAACTGGTGTACATACTTCTAGAAGCGAGGCAATACGCTTTGAACACATAAAATGGTAGTGGGGACAGAGAGAAATGAGGGGACCCTGCAAGAATGTTCACTAATTGGAAGTTTTCACAATAAAACTGGAAATGGAAAGTTTTCATTAAAGCTTAACCTACTTGTGAATTTCCAGTTACACAACCAAAATATTATCACAAGACAATATTAAAATGGAAAATAGTTATTTTCAGATCTGTGGCAGCTTCACTGTTCGACAATGAAGATCATTCATATGATTAATCTTCATGCAACCCAAGCAGCAGAAAAAGCATCACTAAGACAACAATGAAGTAACTGTAAAAATAACTTTCAGAATTGGCTTAAATGGGCCATTGGATGTTTTCTACTTAAGCAATGACAGTTTACCCCTCCATGCCCTTTAAAAATTGCTGAGATCTCACTGCTTTCAGTTCTCTAATATTACAATTTTTTGTAACCTAATTCCTGAATTTAACTGTTAGCAGATTTCACACAGTTTAGGGCTTGGTGGACTAATGAGAGTCTCTGAGACAGAAGTGCTTTGTGGGTTTATAGATCCTTTTTCACCTCCACAAATGCAGAAAGAGAAAGCAGAACATTCAAGTTCCTGATGCCAGACCCCCTCCACATAGAGACAATGACAGGACCACGTGAGAAGGCCCTTAGGTACCCTGCCCCCTTTCTGCGGGCTACATTCTAAAAACAAGGTCTGAAATGACAGAAAAGCAAGAAGAGGAGCTTCATGAACCATCAGGGGTATCTACAGAAAATAATGAGTTTTTCTAAGGAGCACAAGCCTTTACAACAAAACATCAGCATTAATCAGCAATTACATCCTATGCTAATGGTAAAGTATTTGCATAAGACAATAAATGTACTGTATACCTTCTCTTACCTGCCTACTGTCCCTCTGGGAGGATGTTGAAGAGGAGGCACTTCTATGGGTTGGAGTGGACGTTTTATGAGCAGGGGATATGCCCTTCTCGTCTGAACTCATGGCTGCAGTTACAGTCTAGATGTGGGCACCTGAGACCATCCCAATCTTATCTCAAGTTCACAGACAAAGATGTGGATGATTTTTCAGCTTCATTCCATTTCATGAAGGAGGTTTGCCTAGGAAAGAACAGACAAACATCCAGTGTGTCCAAAAACCTAAAAGCAAGACAAATTTTAGAGTTTCATGTAAACCTTTTCTCCTTATAGATTAATTATCTCAGGTATTTTGTTACAGAGATGGAAAGTGGACTAACAACTATCCACAGTTATGGGTGTCTCAAACAATTAAAATCAGGATATTTAAGGTAAATATTAATTTGTGTTAGTGAGAGGAAGAACTCTGGTACAACTGGAAATATGTCTTCATCTAGACTTTCAGGAGGAAGACAGAAATGTTAGTTTTTAACAAAAGTTTGTCAACAAGGAAAGAGGAAAGAAAACATAAGCTAAAAATCACACTGTTTTAAGGTGAATTACAATTTTATAAATATCGTGGACCCTAATAATGAGGCAAAGTAGAGGAGCTTCTTCCCCAGTATTTGCAATTCCCCCTACCCAATGGAATATGTTGTGTTTAAATCCAACATAAGAGTCAGTTACAAAAGGACTGATGCACATATTATGTGCACCAGGAGCCAGAATCTGTGAAAGAGCAGAGAATACACAGGCTGTAGTTTGAACGCTGAATGTCTCCCCAAGGATCATGTGTTAAAAGATTTGCTCTTCATGGTGGCACCATTAGCAAGAGTAGAACCCACAGGATGTAGGGCCTTACGTGAAGTCCTTGGGTGTGTGCCTTTCAAGGAGACTGTGGATCCCTGAACACCATATTCTTTCGCTTTTACTTCCTGGCCATGAAGTGAACAGTTTGCTCTGCCATGCACTCTCTGTCATGGCATCTGACACCCTTACCAAAAGCCTGAAAGCAACGAGTCTGAACTATCATGAAGTGGAACCTCTGAAAGCATGAGCCAAAATAAACCGTTTCTCATAATAGGTTAAAGCTGATTAACAAAATATATCCACAGGTTTTTACACTGCACAGCTACAGCATGACTACGCATGACTTCAACAACTAATAAATTTGCAAGTACCGATGGACTGAAATCAGAGCTGGTGGTCACAATGACTGGTGGTCAGTATGATTAAAGCACTATATGACATTAAAGCACAACATGGTCAAAGAAAGGCAGAGGCTTATTCCACAGGGCCTTGGAATACATATTGGCTGGATGATATGAATGCCTGCCACACATTTCATGTGCTAGAACCTTAACCCCAAGGCAACATTATTGTGAGATGAGGACTAAATGGAAGTCCATAGGCCATGAAGGCTGTGCTCCCATGGATGGATTTAATGCCACATTAAAAAGGGTTTTTGAGGGCAGTTCTCTATCTTCTGCTCATCTACCTTGAGGATACAGCATTCCTCCTATGACCATTTAATCCTGACATGTCAATTTCACTAAATTAAGAAATGCCTAGCAGATTAGTAAAGAACATTGCTGCATGTGTCTGGAAAGAACATGGAGCTGTGACCTCACTCATTCCTCTCTGGCACTGTTTCCCTGCTATGTTTCCAGGATGCCATGGGCTGAGCACCTGTGCTATACCCAAACCCTTCCACATGACATTCCTGCTTGGAGCCAGCTGCCCATGGACTAAATCCCTTGAAATTGTAAGCCAAATTAACCCTTACTCTTGAAAGTTGTGAGTGTTGGGTACTGTGCCCAGCAAGTAAAAGCTAATATAAAAAGTTTGTGCTAGGACTGGAGCCATTGCTGTGAGGATACCTAATCACATGGGTTTAGAAGCCTTTGGTACTAGTTTGCAGGAGGAGTAAAGGTTTAGTTTAAGAGATGTGGGCTACACAAGAATCAGAATGTGAAGAATAAAGCCTGATGGGTGATTCTGGGCAGACCTTGGAAGACCAAGATGTGGATATGAATGGGGAGAGTAAAGGCCAGGCTCAAAAGTTTCAGTAGGGAACAAGGAATACACTGGCAGTTGGACTATAGGCCATTTCTGTTATGCTCTGGTCAAAAATTTATCTACATTTTTCCCACGTTCTGAGATTTTGCAAGAGACTGAGACAAAGGGGAATGGATTAATTAATCTGGTGAGGAAATTTCACACCCAGGTTGTGGCATCGGTACTACTTCCTGCTTTTAATTTAATAAATTTATAGTAAGAACTGGGGCAAAAAGCAGAGCAGAAGACTCTGAAAAATTCAAACTGTGGCCCCAAAGGTACCATATGTGAAGTTGGGACCAAAAGAGGTGTGGCTACTATGGAGAACAGAACCTTTAAAAAGAAACCAAATAGTTTGTATAGAAAAAAGGAAAAAGATGCCTTGATGGCATCCCAGGAATTAGCAAGATTCCATTCACTGCAATTCAAGGGTGCAAACGTGTCAGCCTTTCTTCTGAGAAGAGTCCCTGGGCCCCTGATCAAGAAGAGCCACTTACTGAATTGCTTCTCTGGGATTCATTTCACCATGCTCAGCCATCCACACTCAGAGGCTACTGTAGACATAGCCCATGGGGTCCTGGTCACTGCTTTTACTGACAGTAGACCTTGATACTGTCCACACAGTCCTGGTTTTACTGGCACACAGAATGCAAGCATTGTGGGTAAGAGAGGCCATCAATCAGATTTCAAAGGAAGGCCTAAAAGTCCATGAACAGAGCCTCTAAGAGGGCAGTGCATGAAGCTGTTGGAATGAAGCTCAAGGAGCAATGGACACCCTAGGAAGTCAGGAATGACAGGAACATGAAATGTCTGTAGGTCATGAGTGGAGTCAGCCCAAAAGAAAGTCTGTATGGGCTGCAATGAGCTAAAGTCATAGGGGGAAGGAGAACTTTAATTTACTACCATGTGCCCTGGATGCCAGATATAGAGCTATAGGATTTAATGTTCACCCTACTAGGTTTTAGTCTTGTTTTGGTTCAATTGTTTCTTATCCTCATATTCCTCCTTTATGGAATGGGAATATTTACCTTGTACCATCTGTACCTTGGGATTTTGTAACTTCTTTTTTATTTTTACAAAGGTCCACAGTAAAGAGTTTGTCCTGGGTCTCAGAGTAAACTTGGACTTAAACTTTTGAAAAATGCTGGAATTGCTGAAACTTTGGAGAAGGAATTATTGTGTTTCCAGTTACACATAGCAAAGTATTACTTTAGGTGGATTTATAAACTTGCTATTGCTTTTATTTTGAGATTAAGTATGGTGTAAGGAAATGTGGGCATGAAGCTGACAAGGGGTAGACCGTGACTGTTTATACTAATGTATCAATTTGACTGGATTAAGAAACATCTAGAAAATTAGTAAAATACATTCTGTCTCTGTTTGTTTGGTTTAGTCGTGGAGGCATGACCTTGGCTACTGAATATAGTCTCTCACCCTTTCCTCTCCAGCACAGTTGCCCTAATCTGCTTCCTGGCTGGCGTGAGCTGAGCATCTTTGGCTCACCACGCCCTTCTGGCTTGGAGACAGATGACCATGAAGTAAGTTCTTGAAACTGTGAGATTATGTCCAGCCATGGGAAAGTCGATGAATGCATCTTCCCTCTGGAGGGCACAGTGTTGAAAACACCATTGTGGAAGCAAAGACTGGGCTCTAACTGGTTAGTGCTCTACTTCTGGATTTCTCAGCCTCCAGGACAATGAGAAAGAAATTTTTATTTTTTAGAATTACCCAATTTCAGTTATTCTTTTATAGCAGTTCAAATGAGTAAAGACATTAGCATTTCTATTTCTACCATAAGCATAAGAAGCCATAAAAGAATACAGAATAATCAGATTTGTATTACTAAGAGGTTACTTTGGTAACCATAAGGAAAATGAAATTGGGGAAGTAAAGAAGATGAAGGAAACACTTCCCACCCTGCACCAGGAAGCCAGAGATCAGACTAGAGGAGGGGCAGAAAACCCAGGACCAAGTTCTTCCTACTGGGACTGACATGGGGAAGGGGGAAAGGCAGACAATGTTGGGGAGACTCCCAGGTTTCTGGCATTGTAAGCAAGAAATAGTCAAGAGAAATCCAAGATGACAGGAAAATCATGAGTATGATTTTAGGCACGTTGAGTCTAAGATACCACTGAGGAATTCAAATGAAGATAAATACTTGGAAATGTAGAGCCCAGAGAAATCTATGCTGGTGACATAAATGTTTACTAGATTATGTGAATGATATAGTTAACGATCCAGTGATTTGTGTGTAGATTGTGTTAATTCTATATGTACAAGTAAATTAAATTTTTACAGGTCTATTATTATATTTTTAAAATCTGTAACATTATGTTAATGGATTATATGGCCTTGAGTGTGTTAAATCAGGATTTAATGGTCTATTGGTTATAGGTAATATTTGAAGGAACAATCCCAATAACCAAAAGGGAATTTTTATAAATTTGTAAAACTGGACATTCTAATGACTAAAACTTATATTCCTTTGTTTAGGTTTTAAATTTCTTTCTTAAGTCACCACAGAAAAGCAAAAGCTACCTACTGTCAAAACTGCACAACTTTGTCTTGAAAGAAATCCAGATAGCCTTTAGAAAAAATAGAAACATAAATACCTATGGAGCTCGTTTTTTTGGCTAGCAATGAGGTTTCATTCAGTATTCGCAAAAGGCAGTAATAAGCCAATACCAGATAGGTGATCATCTAATCTTTTTGTTTTATGAAGGCAGACTAATGAGCATGAGTAGAGCTTCTGAAACCAAGCTCTGGCGCCAGGAAACAGAAAGCAAGAACACCACTCAGATCCTCGACTTGAAGTGCTTTGCTTTCTGGTCCAAGATGTTTTACAAGTAGATGCTGACTTCTGAGCTAAAAGTATGGCAGTCTGTGATGTACTCAAGTGCTCCCAAGGGATAAGTGTGAAATAATCCAACTCATTAAACTGTTAGCCACTTGCAAGTAAATTCAGTCCAAGCTACATTTCCTCCGTTGGGATTTTTCTTTTTTCTTTTTTAAAGCTACATATAACTGTACTTTCTTTATTAATACCAATGTTAACATGTTGATTTTTGTTTTAATTTAACATGACATTTTCATGGTAACTTGTTTATAATGAAAGGCAACATTTCAGTCTAATTTCAATTATGAAC